AATAATTCATAAGTTGTCGGAGGAAATGGTTTATAACCTCAAGTTAACTCAACATACTAGGTACGTATTACTAAATCAACGTCTTTATTCAAAAATGAATTTTATATGTGAAATACTTTGTTAGGTAACAAACACTAATTCCAGCTTAATCATTTATATTTTGACAAAACACTGCCCTCCCATCAACTTTCTCCCCCCAATAACACTCATTAGTCATTACATGCCTGAAATTAAAGATCGACATCATGATTGGCCGAACTGAAATACAACTCGTTGACATTGTGATCATCGGATAAACATCAATATATAATTAGCATAATTATGTATTGCTGTATCTTTATTACTCAAACCCAAAGACGTGCTCGCCTTGTCAATTATTTATGATCAGTCTTCTCTGCGTTCTTTCTCTTTTCCGGCATAAGAACGCAAGAGTTGCTTTCCTTATTTCTAAAGGGTTGGAACAGAACAGAACAGAAGGACACTTGACGAGTGGCGCTCAACTACTCATTCATTGATACATGCATGCATGAGTTTTTTTTGTCAACAGAGATTCTCCCGCATTAATGCTTTGATTAGTTATTGATTACAGTACTTACAGTTACAGGTAGGTATTGATTGAGAGCTCCCTAAGCTCTAATCAGTTTTCAATGTCGGCATTCCTTAATTGGAATAAGGGAACACCTTTCCTTAATTCATTTACCGGAAATCGATCTTTTGTTCCAAAGTCTCAATAACTTAGCTTCTTGAGCCCAACTTCTGCATCTATATCTCATGGTTTTAAGTGAAGCTGCGTACGTAAATGTATATAAAAAAATCCTGTTGTTGGCAAGTGTGAAAACCAGTTGAACTCGTGTCTTGTTAGTGTCCAAGAAGGCTTGATTGCGGCATGTTTTATGATTAGGTTCGTTAACATCGTCTAAGATATTTTTTGTTAGATAAATGGGTGCTAACTAGTAAATAACTGCATTAGGAAATGATTTGCGGCATGTTTGTGATTAGGTTCGTTAAGTATCCTACACTAGTTAATATCTTAAGAGTCAAATCAATACGGCCAATACGTAACTTAGATAATCCATTCTACAACCGTGGCCAACTTTGTATCTTATTAATTGGTTATTTCAACAGTTAAAAGTTGTAGCTGATAGAGATAAATTGATCAGTAGTGAATTGTTGTAGCAATTTCCCTACTAAACTTGACGAAATGTTAATTCTGATTGCTCCAAATTAAAGACTCTAACAAGTGATTTCAAACAACTTCTGTTTTTTTTAAAGTGATTCTAAACGACACAGGGTCAATGTGTTTCCTCCCTACTAGTGCAAACCGAACAAATCATCTCAAATTTGAAGTATTGTTCGCACATTAGTGATTCACTAAATCGATCACGAGAGAATCGGCTAGAGTGTGGTATAAGATCCAACATAATTTTCTCTTAACAACTCGAGTTATTGAGACCAACTGGTTTATAACATGGTATCGGAGTTGGTTTGACCTACTCGTCGTGTGTTCGAATTTTCACGACTCCCAATATTAACAGTTGATTAAAACACAAGGTATGGTGGGTCTGTGCAAACTTCAAGCCCGTGAGTTGGCTTTCGTTTGAGTCGGCGTGTTAGAGTGTGTTATAAGATCCACGTGAAATCACCATTGGCGCCAAAAACACAACAGCGGTTTTACCGCAGCAAACAACTGGCGCTAAATCGTCATGACACTCGGCCGAAGGACTCCATAGAAGCGGCTAGAACCGCTGCAAAAGAGCGTCACAAACGTTACCCCGGAGGGTGCGAGAACCGCTGCAAATCCTTTCATGACGACCGTCACAACAACGGCTCAGCGATGATTCTGCCCACCGTTGCAAACTCTTTCCTAGCGGTTAAAACCGCTGGCAAAGGATGAAATAACCGCTGTTGTATCCTTTTTCATGTAGTGTCACTTTACTTTATTAGATAAAGTGGTTAGTGAGCTTTTGGACAAAGTGTGTGCAATTTAATTTGTCATATTAAATCACACTACGCATTTGGAATTAAACTTTTGGCTATTTAATTAATTAATTTCGGATAATTAATTAATTTCGAGTATTGTGAAACGAAGCAACCCTTTAGAAGGGAATAGTCATTTGTTCACAATAAAAGACGTTTTGTGACCAGAATTTCACCCAAACATTCGTCTTCTTCTTTCCGTTTCCTTCTCAATCACAGAAGTCTACAAGATCGCCGCTTCCAAACTTAGATTGAAGACAAGGAACTCTTGAGTTGATTTACTCTATCCTACCAACAAGTTAATAGTGGAAGCAAATAACACTTTTAGAAGAGTGATTCATTCACGCCTTCAATCATGTTCTTTCCTTCCAATCTTGTGACATAAACACCTAAGACATAAACATCAAGATAGAAAAGAAGAAAAATATGAGAGACCTCGTATACCTACATGACACATAATCAGCCTCCAGTTACACCTAACTCCTTAAAGATATGACAGATGTTAAAATCGTGAAGAACAAACCTATTATGAACCGTCTTTCAGTGTAAAATTGGACGGAACATAACATGTCCACCCACAGTACTCTACTGAAATCTTGCATGTAGAAAACTAGAAACGACTAGGTCCAAAGCAACCCCCAATCCATCCCCCTAACCATCGACTGCCACGTGTAGGAGAACATCACACTTTTGGAGGAATGCGACGAATGCCGCCCACGCCTAAATTTGGGAAAGCCCTAACTCGCTGAAACGCTTTACAAATATGGGAATGAATTAGGCTTGTGGAGTAGTAGTAGTAGTGAAAGGGGGAAAAGGCGACTTGGTCGGTCGAGTTTCTTTGCACTCCAGTACATTGTTCTGCTGCTTTTGAAAAAAAAAAATCTTTATTTTTATTTTTTATTTTGGGATCGATTGGAAGTCCACAGCAGTCCCAACTTTGGAGGGTCTCCTCGCCCGCGTAGGGTACAATACCCCTTTGGTTAGCAATAAAAGGAGTAAGTAAAGGGGACCAATCAAAGAAAATGGGGAGACGATGTGTCCTATATGAAGAAACTTGAGAGGACGGATTGGAAATTACACGGTTAGCATTTATGGGAAATCTACCAATCAATCGTGTACCCACGTCACGGTGCACAATTGTACTTCTCTGCGGTGAGAGTCACATGCTCATAAGTCATAATCGTTAACTCTTTGTACCACGTTAGTATTCATAAAACTCATTTACATTGATATTTGATAAGAATGTATATTTGTCATAAATATTTTACAGTTCACACCACAATAAATGGTCACTCTAAAATAGTCTTTAGACAAGTGAGTTGTTTTAAATAGTCAAAAGTTCATACATGGCAAACCGTGATAGTTATTGGGTTATGTCATTATTTAATTTTTGTGGTCACCATATCCCTTTTTTTTTTATCTGAAAGCTAACTGTCCAAAGGGAAGAATTGATGGTTAGTTTTCAAGTAACATGAGAAATGGTGACCACTGACGGTTACCATCCATGTTGTAACATTGTAACCCTTCAAATCCTAAGCGGATGGTATTGGTATGAGCGAATCTTATGGTTATCATCAATGTGTGTGTGATGGGCGGTCAATATGTACATAATCCAACTTATAAGTGGATGGTGTCATATGTCCTATGAATACCATTCACACTATCCAATCTCGAGGTAACCATCCAATTTAACATAATGACGTGTTTAGAGACTATTATTGGGATCAACAACCGACTCGCGTAGATGCTGGCATTGGATTTATTTTCAGGAAGAAGAGAGAGTGATTGGTCAGTTCTTTAAATAAAAGTTTGAAGCGGTTTTTCAAAGAGAACAGACAAAAATCAACACACAAAATATCCTTTTTCTCGTTTATTTCTCTTCCTTATTCTTTGTAATCACAGAGCTCTCGTTCCATAAAGGATCCTGCATAGTTCTTGTCGAGGTTCTAGTCATGAAGTTTTCAAGGAGTCTCCATAGAAGTAGCATAATGAAATGTAAAATTTTCATATATCAAATACCCTCATTAAAACACTGTGTGAAGATGTGTAAACCATAGTAACAATCACCGCTTTCATTAAAGTCAAAACACATCTCATCCACACATTTTTTTCCCACCATCAATATTTACACATTGGTTCACTTGATTGCCTCTTGCTGCATGACTAAATAAAAAAACCAAATTTGTATTTGAAGGAAGGACTGAATTGAATTTTACATTAAGTACTTGTTAAAAATGCTAGTGAAGTCTTTTGCCAACAAATACACTTGCATTTGAACCATCACTTTCTCAATATACAAAATTCAAACTTAAACACTTCTCAGTAGCATAAGTATATTCTTAGACAAAATTATATTGATGGTTGATATTGTTTATCGAAAAACTATACAATAATTTGGCAAGTTTTAGAATTTCAACCTCTAAGATTGTAATATAATATGAACATGAAAAAATTTCACATTCAACTTTAGTAGTCTCATACCAAATTCTTTTTTGGAGTAATTCTTCATTTCTTCCACCCTAATCTTTAACTATATATCAAGGAAAGTTTCTCATATTGAATACACTCATGCCTAGAGGAATTGGAAAATTGAGATTGGACAAGTCAAATAGATTTATACTTCCACTATAAACCATACACAATGTAAGAAACCAAACACAAAAAGGTCAATTACTAGAGTATGATAACTTCCAATCTTTCGAAATATCATGACTTTAGTTAAATAGACATATCAAAATAAAAGAAATTAAGTTATAAAACACCCAGATATCACATCACTATCCAAATTACTCAATCAAATTCGAGTTGTTTGAAGAGTCCTAAATTGAATTTTATACCACTAATCCCACTTTTTGGTCATTGGTGAAATTCAAATCAACAATTACAACATCCATAATGTATAAATCTCGCCTACCAAAACTCACCCAATGTCTCTCATGAGAATAGAAAAGGTTCTTTCACAGGAAGGTTCACCAATCACCATTTCCATTACAATATTATCCAACCAAAAGGAAGGTCCCCCCGCCACCATTAGCACTATAAATACCACATCCAGCAGCTGCCACCACCATAACCTCAATTCAATTTCCCATTCACCAAACAAACAACAAAACCAAACCCAAACCGCACTACTCAATTAGCAGCGCAAGCGATTACGTCCTTCTCCACCTTAATTCCACAACATATAACTACAGAGTCCCTCTGCTCTGTTTTTTCCCCATCTTTCTCCCCTGTCCAGAAAACCAAAATGGTGTTCAAGCTGAACAATCAGTTGCTCTCAAGGATGGCCATCGGCGACGGCCACGGCGAGAACAGCTCCTACTTCGACGGCTGGAAGGCCTACGACAGCGACCCCTACCACCACCAGAATAACCCCGACGGCGTAATCCAAATGGGTCTCGCCGAAAACCAGCTCTGCTTCGACAAGGTCGAAGAATGGCTCAAGAAAAACCCTGCCGCCTCCATTTGCACCCCCGAAGGCGTCGCCGGGTTCAAGGACGTAGCCATCTTTCAGGACTACCATGGATTGCCGCAGTTCCGAAATGTAATTAGAACCTTTTCTTCTTCCTCCTCTGCTTCCTCCTCCCCTGTTTTCAATTTCCTTCTCCCCTGTTATTGCTTTCCCTTTTTACTAATGGGGTTTGGTTAATTGATTATGGATCTGCAGGCGGTGGCGAAGTTTATGGGGAAAGTGAGGGGAGACAGAGTGAGCTTCGACCCTGATAGAATCGTGATGGCCGGCGGAGCCACCGGAGCTCATGAGACCGTCGCTTTCTGCTTGGCGGATCCCGGCGAAGCTCTGCTTGTGCCCACCCCATACTACCCAGGGTAATTACTCCTTACTACCCTTTTTTTTACCAAGAGTTGACGTTCTTACTAAAATTGGGAAAATACCCGAATTACATTATTTTGACAGCACAGTTTCATCACCATCATCTTAATAAGTTGAATCGGTCTAATTGGAGCCAGAGCTTGACTTTTTGGGTCCTCTGGAGTCTTCATTATTACTTAAAACTTTTCTTCTCCGCCTTCATCCACGGGGCAGACAAATTGACCTAACACACTCAACCATATATTTATTCTTGTCGGGCCACCAATACGCAACCATTCGACAATGCCATCTCCCACTCTTAAAACCATTCAATAACAAGGCTTACTCCAAAGTCAGAAAGATGGACACTTGTTTTGTAAATAAGTCGGCATCAGAAGTTATATTTTTGCTTGGTATTTAGGGTTCTACCCATATTTACTTGTTGGTTTGCTGGTCCAGCCTGAATTATTGGTGGGTTGCTTAGCTGTTTAGCTCCACATGAACTAGTTGGGCAGTGGACGACATTCTCTAAAATTTTCCCTGAAAAGTCCACCCAACCATGTAACAAAAGTCATATCCAATGTCCCTACTCTGAATTAGAGTAGAGATGGTGTGACCGCGTACTATGTCACGGTCCATGTTTTATCGGAGTCTATATTACAGAACAATGTTTGCTTAATTTGGTTGTCGTATTGTTTTATAGGTTCGATCGCGATTTGAGGTGGAGGACGGGAGTCCAGCTCGTGCCGATCGAATGCGACAGCGCGAACAACTTCAAGCTGAGGATGGAGGATCTGGAAGCCGCCTACGAGATGGCGAAGCTGAACAACATTCGAGTCAAGGGACTGCTGCTGACCAACCCATCCAACCCGCTGGGGACGATTCTCGACGGCGACACATTGAGGAACATCGCCGCCTTCACCAACGAGAACAACATTCACCTGATCTGCGACGAGATCTACTCGGCCACCGTCTTCGGCAAGCCCGACTACGTCAGCATCGCCGAGATCGTCGACGAGGACAGGAAGAGCGGCCGCAACGGGCTCAACCTGGACCTGATCCACATAGTCTACAGCCTGTCCAAGGACATGGGCTTCCCGGGCCTGCGGGTGGGGATAGTCTACTCCTACAACGACGTCGTGGTGAGCTGCGCGCGGAAGATGTCGAGCTTTGGGCTTGTCTCGGCCCAAACCCAGCACATGATTGGGTCCATGCTGTCGGACGCTGAGTTCGTGGAGGAGTTTCTGGGGGCGAACCGGGCCAGGCTGGCGGAGCGTCACGGGGCTTTTACGGGCGGGTTGGGCCGGGTCGGGATCCGGTGCCTGAGATCCAGCAACGCTGGGCTTTTCGTGTGGATGGATCTGCGGCGGCTGCTGAAGGAGCAGAGCGTGGAGGCGGAGACGGCGCTGTGGCGGGTGATAATCAACGAGGTGAAGCTGAATGTCTCGCCGGGGAGTTCGTTCCACTGCTCGGAGCCGGGTTGGTTCCGGGTCTGCTTCGCGAATATGGACGATGAGACGATGGAGGTGGCGCTGGGGAGGATTAGGGCTTTTGTGGCGAAGCACAAAGAGGCGATGAAGCCGGCGAGGAAGCTCTGCGCGCAGAGCAGCTTGAAATTGAGCTTCTCCGGCAGGATTTACGACGAATTTATTATGTCTCCGAGGTCGCCGATCCCTCAATCGCCGCTGGTTCGAGCCAGGACTTAACGAAAAGATGGGGTTTTGGGGGAAGGAGTGATGATAAGTATTTTTTTTTTTTTTACCTAGCTAGTTAAGCTAACTAGAGAGGTTAACAATGGCGATGGAGGGAAGTAGATTGATTAAGTTTAAGTAAGGTAAATAATAAAGAGAAAATCCTGATCCCTTCAACTGTGCTGAAGGGGGTAAGTTATGGATATATATGTATTATGTGTTTTTGTTTGTTGATTCTTTTTCTTTTTTTATCTGTTTTAGTGACCCTAAAACTAGATGTACAAGAATCATATGTAACCGAGGAAAAAATTACTACTATTGATGTTGTGCTTTGGTACTAATATATCACCATTCTCATGGTTGTCTAATTTACAGGGCTTCCTAGCAAAAAAATAAAAATTGTATCTGCATGTAGAGATAAGTATTTATTATGGATGGTCTATCATTTCACACAATCCATTTGTTTTATTCCACTTCATATTTCGCCATGAAATATCTAATCTAATTACTTTTTCCAAGTACTCCCTTTTGCTCTTTACTATATTTTCAGGAGGGATATAAAAGTAGCTTCATCCTTTTAATTCAGCGCAATTATGGACTCTACACACTATTGAAACAGAACAAAAGTTGGGCCAAACATATAAAATTTTGGATTATGATATTAGGGAGGCTACTGAGTTCAGATTAATTGGCCTTCGAATCTTCTACAATCCTTATCCCTCCCCTTAATCCGGAGAATTCTAACTTGGCCCCGTCATCCGAGTATAGGTTAATTTAAACATCAGGCAGTACCATCAGCAATATCAGGAATGGATTGGTATACCGAAGGAGAACACCCAGTTTGTTCCGGCAGTCCCGGCGGTTGAGGTTCTCCATTGTCCTCTGGTCTGCTTATGGGATGGGGCTACCAGGGCCGCATCGCACTCGGCAGGAGGGATGGTGTTGGTGAATTCAGGGGGAGCCGTTCTGGTTGCTAGAGGTTTTCTGTTTGATGGTGTTGAGGACCCTTTAATTGCTGAAGCTCTTGCTCTTCGTGAGGCTGTTCGCTGGTGCCGGGACTCGGGGATTGTGGAGGTGCGTTTTGAGGGAGATGCCAAGGTGCTGATTCAGAAGATTATTCAATCCGACACTAGGGATAATAGGGTGGGGGCACTTCTGGAGGAGATTGTAGGGATGATGGGTTCGTTGGGAGGTTTCTCTGTTCGGTTTGTAGGTCGGCGTAGTAATAGGGCAGCCCATTTGGTGGCTAGAAAGGCTCTTTCATTGTACCCGACTACGAGTCGTTGCTTTAATTTGTTTGCCTGGCTTGCTACCAGGATGTAACTACCTATGTTTCTGATCAATATATCGATTATCTTTTGAAAAAAAAAAAAAAATTTAAACATGGAACGATTACAATTTAACAAAGGTGTTACGAAAGATTGCAATATATTTTGCGTAATGACTTTGTATTTTATGTAACACTGTGTTATACAATCATTATGTAAGATAAACATACATTATATGTATTTCGTAACAACTATTGTATTTTACGTAATAAAATATATAGTCACCTTACTTCAAGGTATTGTAGCAATCCTCAGTATTATTTGTTGAGTGTTTGGGTTTGGTAGCAAAATGATGACAGGGCCTAAAAGTTCATATGAGGTAGTATGTTGTCTAAACACCAACTTTTATGGTATTATTATTATTATTATTTGTGTTTTTAATGGGTCGCGACATCTGTAAAACTTATCATTTTGGATTTTTATCGCAAATCAATGAGAGAAGAGCCATTATCACACCACAATGCACATCACAAAATTGAAAGGAAAGAAAAACATGAAGCGGAACTGATGGAAGAGGCACTACTATCCGCAATCAACATTCTACAAAATTCACGAGAAACTTACCAACCGGCCGGTCACAATACTAGTATAACAATATTTGCCTCACAATTCAAAGTACCTAGCTCTCCTCTCGTGCTCAATTGCTCATACATAACGTCCAACTTTCTATCGGCATTGGTTCTTTAATTGCTGTTCATTTTTTGGATTAGTGTCTAATTGACAAGTTGTTTTCCACAATCAAACCATTAAGGAAGAAGGATTTTTAATGAATCAAGTTGAGGTGAGTTTTGTCTTGTTCAGTCATAGCTCGAACTCTACTTGTCTATTAACCAACTGAATTGAGTCGAGTTCGAGCCGGTTATTTTATTAAAATTTTTGGCTTTTTATCATTAAAATCACGAGTTCAGCTCCAACTCAACTTGTTTATTTTAAATGAGACATATTTTTCACATAATACATAACTCGATTTTCTCATAAAATGGTTGTCGAGTTCGCTCTTTAATCACAATATTGAGACATCTCACGAGCTCAAAACGAGGCAGTTCACCAGTTGAGCTCAACAAGCCACCGAATCAATCTGACTCACGATCCTCGCTAGCCGAACAATGGTCAGCTCAAACTCGACTTGTTGATAAGCTAGTCGAACTTTCCGCCTTTTCCCGAATCGAACGAACTTTTTCCGAGTGGAGATGGTTCGCGAGTCTCCATGCTAAACAAGTTCAAATAATAAACGATTCAGACTTTTCCCAGAATCAAACGTCAAACACAACCATACTCAGAAGTTACTATTTCCCGACTTTTCCATCTTTACTCTGAATTGTGCCGCAGGAGCTTCAGCCATTTCAAATTTTCACTGATGTATGAACCATAAAGCCGCAGCTCCGTCTAATGAGTCCACCTGCAGAATCCAGGATTACAGACCGTAACAGCTAACCCACACAACCACCGGCCACCCGCTGGCAGTGTAGATTTATCAAACCAACCAAAATTGAGAAGTGATGGTAGGAACTAGGAATTAGGAAAAGAAGTAAAGAACAGAGGCTTATGTCATGTGTGGTATCAAACAAATGATTCCGACATGGGCCAAATCATAGTGGGCCTACAACTCCAGTTTGTTTCTCCCATTCACTCAATTAAGGCCTTGACCATATCAATTTCGAGGCCCACGTTTTAGCAAATTCTAATCACATCATTTCAATTTCGAGGCCCACGTTTTAGAGAATCTGAATCCAAAACAAAATTATTCTATCCGTCTCTAGTTGCTATTCTACTTCTAGGGATTAGGGATAGCTCCGATAGTTAACCTAAAAGGGAAAATAATTAACCAGAGGGACTGAGAGGATTGAGAAATGGGGACGACGGGGTAATCTAATCCCTATGGCTAGGGGCCGCAAATCTTCAGTAAAATATTAGTTCAAGTTGGTGAGTCGGTGGGCTGCCCTTGTCATTCCTTCATCGTCTTGCTTAATTCCGGCTGTTTAATTAGTATTAAGCATTTATAATAAGGATTTGGGAGATAATAATTAATTCCAGTTTTACAGAATAATAATTTAAGATAATGAGATGGGCCGGCTTTGATTAGACAAGCCAAAAGGATTAGTTAGATCTTTGGTGGGCAGATCGCACAGGACACATGACCTCAGCTCAACCTCAACTCCTTTGCATTGCCCAACAAGTTTCAACTGAAAATGACTCCATCCATAAGATCCTCATAAAACCATAACTAAGCTTTTAGCATAGTAATTAGTGTTAAGAACCAGTTGGTCCCAATAACTCGAGTTGTTGGGAGAAGTTTATGCTGGATCTTATACCACTCTCTAACACGCCCCTTCAAACGAAAACCAACCCACGGGCTTGAAGTTTGCACAGGCCCACCATACCATGTGCTTGAAAGACAACGGTTAATATTGGGGGTCGTGGAGATTCGAACACATGATATTTCGGTTCTAGGCTCTGATACCATGTCAAGAACCAATTGGTCCCAATAACTCGAGTTGTTGAGAAAAGGTTATACTGGATCTTATACCACTCTCTAACAATTAGCTCCGGTTGATTATCACACCGTCTTCGGACCATTCTGAGTAAACAGAGAGTACCATAAATGACAAGGAGACAACATGGCGAGTTCCCGCAAACCTCTGCTATTATTGAAGTGGTGGCATTATTGAGAATCTCCTTTTTTTCACATCAAGAATCTTTTGTTCCCAAATATAGAGTGGAATCCTTGATTCTTGTTGGTGGGTACTTCCCATGTTCTGAACCATCAAGAGTGCATCCCCAAAATGTTCAATCGGATAACAGAATGGTTCCTAAGTTGTGGTTTAGCAAATCAAGTATGATATCGGTAATGCATTGTTCGATTTTCAATACTTTTTATATTTTATTTGACTGGAAACGCTTATTAGATTGGATCCACATGAATGAATAAAGCGTTGAATGGTCGGATAGACAAAATGTGTTGAACAATACATGTAATTGACATGTAATATGAAATTACGCGCGGTAAGAAATATAAGAAATTTGTGTCAAAATGAAATAAGAAAAATAATATAATACCCTATAATTTTTTAAAATTACACAAGGTGATGAAATTAATTACGCCCAAACTAAATTTAATGTTTCTAATCCAGTTTGTGGTTTTAGAAACGGGTCCTTACCATCCTTCACCGATTCAGCCAAATTAACACAAAGACAGCAGCATTTTGGGGACGTTGAATCCTAAGAACACCCAAAACAAAATGTAGAAAGAAATAAAGCTGAGGAACAAAAAAAGGACAAAGAAAAGAAAAATAGAAATCTCAGAAGAATAGAGAGTTCTTCAGACGTCAGTGCCAAAGCAAATAATTAACAATGTTAAAACATATAGATTTTTGGGTAATCACGGCAGACCCCCTTAATCTTAATCCTCTTTTAAAGAAACAAGAAAAGGGCAAAGTAAGCAGATTAATTAACAATAATCATAAAATTATTAAAAGAGGCAGAGCTCTACTAGTCAATTCCTTTCCCCCTAAGTTGCAGAGCTGTGCAAGAATTGAGTATTGACCCAGGCTTCGAATTTGCAGAAAACAAACGGCGGAGCCTAAACCCAATAGAAATTTCAGAACCCAACCCAACCTCCATTTAGTCAATCAGCGGTCGCAAGCATTGAATCTTAACAATGGAACTAAGAAGCTTCTAGGCTGATCAAAAGTTGTGTTTCGCAATCCAACAAAAAGAACACAGCCGAGTGAAGAAAACCCAGCGCAGAGAAATAAAGTGACCCAGAAACAGAGAACCTTTCCCCCGGAAAAAGTACCGCCTCTCTGCATCCATAATCGAGCTTGCAATTTCTACAGAGTTTGTTTATCCAACCACATCAACGAAATCCTCACTTCCTATTGATAATAACAGAAAACCCAAATCACGAAAAAACCCTTTCTATTTCCCAGCTCTCACACCGCCACCGCCACATCCATATACATCTATTACCTCTAATTGGTGAATTTCAGCAAATGACACAGCCGTTGGGATTCTCGTCGGGACTCACCAATCGGTAATTG